CCATTTGTAATATTTATGGTGTGTTTTTTTTTTTTTTTTTTTGCTCATTTGGAATGCTGATCTGCAGGTTACTAAACATTTAGTTTGACTGCATAAAATCCTGCTAAGAAATCAATTAACCAAATATTAAAAATTATAAATGTATGTATGTATATATTATTTTAAGAAATTGCAAATATATCTGTCTTCAATCTTGATAAACATGTGTAAAATGCATTCACAAATGCTGACTTCCTATAAATTAAATCTGCTGATTTAAATTTCTGTTTTTTCAATAAATAACAAGCCTATGAGTGCAGCACTAAGCAGAAAATTTGCATGTGACTATATGATATGCACCAAAGTGACACCCCATATAAAGCGAACATCCATAGCCTCAGTCATTTGTTTGAGTGATTTTGTTGAACAATGTGGAGTAATCAGGTTCCTTGTTACAGAAGGTTGCAGACCCAATGCAATTCATTGGCAAATGCATCAGGTGTATGGTCTATACACCATAAGCCTTGCCCAGGTGGAGGTGTGGGCCAAAAGATTTCAGGAAGGACATTCAAGTATGAAGGACAAGCAACAATTGGGACCTCAGCATGTAGCCACACCACAGAATGTGCAAATGGTGGAAGGATCTGCTATAGCAGTTTAGTTGGGAGGTTCTTGAACACCCTCCCTATAGTCCCGACCTGTTACCCTGAAACTTCCATGTTTTTGGGGCACTTAAAGGCAGACAATTTTCCTCAGACACTGAAGTGCAAGATGTTGTCCGACATTGGCTCTGCCAGTGTCCTGCTACCTTCTTTGAACAGGGCATAACTTGGCTGATGTCACAAGGGATAAGTGCCTTAACAATCAGGGCAATTATTGTTGAAATAAATCATTTCTATTTCATGCTGTTATGTTTGGCTAGTTATTTATTGAACACCCCTTATATATCATTTTATAAATCTGGATATTGAATCAAGATGTTGAAAATGCAGATAGAATATCTGCATTTTCAACATCTTGATTCAATATCCAGATTTATAAAATGATATATAAGGGGTGTTCAATAAATAACTAGCCAAACATAACAGCATGAAATAGAAATGATTTATTTCAACAATAATTGCCCTGATTGTTAAGGCACTTATCCCTTGTGACATCAGCCAAGTTATGCCCTGTTCAAAGAAGGTAGCAGGACACTGGCAGAGCCAATGTCGGACAACATCTTGCACTTCAGTGTCTGAGGAAAATTGTCTGCCTTATTAAAAAATAATATATTTATATAACATTAATAAAAACGTTCCATCTGTTAGTTGATAGCATTATATTTTAAAGTTTTTTACAGGCAAATTTATGTATAAAAAATTAAGAGCACATTGCCTTAATTTTAAATAAATTAATGAAAACTTTTCTTATATAACAATTTTTTCACTTTTGTTTAACATTTGCATTAACAAAAGATAAATTGTATGTATTAAAAATATATTGAAGAATACAAAAAAATTTGTCTTCACATCTGTTGTTACACAACACCAGCAACAAACCAATAAACATACAATCTTCACTTGCAGAATTAAAACAAATAGTTCATTAAAATGAACTATTTGTTTTAATTTATAGTATCATTAATAGAAGACTTTCTAAAACAATTTACATTATTCACCGAGGAATATCCTCAAATAAAAGGTCATCCATAAGACTGTGTTTATTGGTTTGTCACTGGCAGTGTGTAATGATGGATTGTGAAGACAAATTTTTTGTATTCAATATATATTCAAATTACCATTGGTTATTCTTATAATATATATGTTATCTTTAATAGTATAGCATATGTTGTTATGATTTGAAACTCAAGACAATCTAATGTTTATGATATGTTCCCTGGCACTTCAAAAAAAACATATTGAATAAAATCTTAAAGGATAAAGATGGCTTCCCTAACATTATTAAAATAATGTATTATACATTATTAGTATATCTTGTGCTAATAGCTAGCTATCCAAACTTAACAAGAATATAGGAAAAATATCTATAAATCGTATTAAATATTTATTGCTCTAGATACAAACTTATTTTAACATTTTTAATGAAATGCTGCATCAAGTTAATTTTTTAAAATAATATAATGTTTAATGATATTTCAAATAATAATGAATGACTTAACTATTTTTGTCTGTTTTTGAAAAATGTTTCTTCAGATATTACATATCTGTAAGAAAACAATAGCTTAAAATGACAATTTAGAACACATTTAAGAAATAAACAAGAAAATTATTTAATTGTTTTTGTTGTGTTCATGTATTTTTGTTGTGAATAAGCAAAGATACAGAATAGAATTTTTAATAAGATCATGAAGCTTAAAATGCAACTAAAATTAATATTGGGTACTTCTGTCAAAAGAGAAGAAACAATGCATCTCTAAAATTTATCAGAACAGCATTTTTTCATCAGCATCAAGAAGGAAAAAAAAAATCAAGTAAGCCAACTTCTTTTCTTGTAGCTGCCATCACTCTTTATTCTGCTTGGATTAATATGATTTGCATATATTGATAGAAATAGTTCACTAGATCAGTGATTCTCAACCAATGTGCTGCAAAATTTTTGAAGTGCCGCCACTGCGAATACTCATACATAAGCGACGTCAGACAAGTTCAATCGGTTCAACCTTTCTAGGGCGCATTTGGAAATTGTAATTGGTATTACTGGTAAATGCCTGTAGTTACAAGGCATTTAGAAAATGTGACCTAAATAACCAACTGTTGTTTAAAAATCATTGTCATGACGTCACTGGTTTTCCCGTGGTACTTACCAAAGTAACCATGTGTGCCGCCAAATTTTTAAATTATTAAAAGTATACCGTGACAAAAAAAGTTGAGAATCACTGCACTAGATAATATCATCCTAATACACACCCACACCACAACTATGATAAATGATTGGACTAAATTTGGATATAATGATTATAAATTAGAAATGAATTTGGCACTAGAGTGAGGTATTAGGTGTCAAATGCCTCACTCTAGTGTCAAATGTATATATACACACACCAGTTTATCATTTTCTGAAAAAAAAAGGAAAAATATATCAAGAACTAAAGCCAACAGTAAAGTTATGATAATGAGTCTATTATTTTAACTTTTATTATATGATTCATGAAAATGTGCTTGGAGTTTAACTAATAAATATAAATGGGAAACTTGGTTATTAATCTTATTCTTTTAGTATTTTCTTATAACTTTTTAAAATATAATTTTATTGTTTGACTAATTACTGTTACTTAATTATTTTTGCAAATATGTATGACTTCACATAAAATGAAACAATATACATGTAAAGTAATTTCTTATATGAACTAACAACTTCATTTTCAAGAAAGATCTTTCCACCCTATTCATTATCTTTAAGGTGAAAAGAGGTGAAATGGTTGGCTGCCAGATATACAGTACATTTGTAATGAAATTTATTTATCTTAATTTAATATTCTCCTCTAATTTTTCTTGATTTTGGATATTGAATCAAGATGTTGAAAATGCAGATAGAATATCTGCATTTTCAACATCTTGATTCAATATCCAGATTTATAAAATGATATATAAGGGGTGTTCAATAAATAACTAGCCAAACATAACAGCATGAAATAGAAATGATTTATTTCAACAATAATTGCCCTGATTGTTAAGGCACTTATCCCTTGTGACATCAGCCAAGTTATGCCCTGTTCAAAGAAGGTAGCAGGACACTGGCAGAGCCAATGTCGGACAACATCTTGCACTTCAGTGTCTGAGGAAAATTGTCTGCCTTTAAGTGCCCCAAAAACATGGAAGTTTCAGGGTAACAGGTCGGGACTATAGGGAGGGTGTTCAAGAACCTCCCAACTAAACTGCTATAGCAGATCCTTCCACCATTTGCACATTCTGTGGTGTGGCTACATGCTGAGGTCCCAATTGTTGCTTGTCCTTCATACTTGAATGTCCTTCCTGAAATCTTTTGGCCCACACCTCCACCTGGGCAAGGCTTATGGTGTATAGACCATACACCTGATGCATTTGCCGATGAATTGCATTGGGTCTGCAACCTTCTGTAACAAGGAACCTGATTACTCCACATTGTTCAACAAAATCACTCAAACAAATGACTGAGGCTATGGATGTTCGCTTTATATGGGGTGTCACTTTGGTGCATATCATATAGTCACATGCAAATTTTCTGCTTAGTGCTGCACTCATAGGCTTGTTATTTATTGAAAAAACAGAAATTTAAATCAGCAGATTTAATTTATAGGAAGTCAGCATTTGTGAATGCATTTTACACATGTTTATCAAGATTGAAGACAGATATATTTGCAATTTCTTAAAATAATATATACATACATACATTTATAATTTTTAATATTTGGTTAATTGATTTCTTAGCAGGATTTTATGCAGTCAAACTAAATGTTTAGTAACCTGCAGATCAGCATTCCAAATGAGCAAAAAAAAAAAAAAAAAAACACACCATAAATATTACAAATGG